TGCTTAAAATGTGGTAAATGCTGCAACTCCTTATGAAGACCCCATCTAAACCATAGTGGATCTAGAAGCAATAAATAATAAGAAAACATTATAAATTTCAAAGTACAGTAAAGCTGGAGGGCTTTTAACCTCTGGCATAATTGTAATTTTATGGATAACACTAAGGGGTTCGATTACACCTAGTTTGGTGCTTGGTGTTTTTCAGCACTGGATAAATGGCAGTTACCACTAGAGCGCCTAGAATATAGCTGTTTTGTATGTGCCCAATTCTCGCTATAAGAGGTTTTGCTTGTCACCACAGCATGTTGCTGTGCGGAGACACAAATGACGTGTCACTTTGTATAAATAGTTTATAAAGAAAGTTTATGCATCACACCATCTCGCCCCCTCAGTGCAACTCACTAAAAATAAAACTGACAGCAATCCACACACTAAAATGATGTACTAAACGTACAGGCAGTGTGAATGAGCTCTAACAGTTCACTGAATGCAATCCAGAAAGACTAAGCAGCAGAGGAGATATGAGATGATCTACAGCCATCTGTATCTTTTTTTTTGGTGATATGTACCCTTAAGTATTCCTTTCATTATTATTGGTCTTATTATTCATTGGGTGTAAACAGTTTAACAACATTTGTAGCAATTCAGAATCATTGTATTTTTTATTTGTTTTGCATTACAAAGCTGAAAATGCAGCAAGAATGCCTTGGTCAACATCACAATTGCTGCAGTAGTCCAGCACTGATCAGGAGATACTTTACCATTGCCCTATATATGTGGCACTTTTCAGTCAAATTCAACCACTTTTAGGCCACCAGGAATCACAAATATGATCTAAAGTAATTGCCAGAAACTAAACAATATATCACCCATGAGCTTGACCAACCACTAGAATTTGGTTGAGTGTGAATTCGATTGTGGCCTTGTATCAATGGAGAACACTTTTTAATGCCCAAAATTTCAATTGTGATCAAATTGAAATAGAATCAAAACCTAAAAAAGCAGGAAATTTCACCAAAAGCAATCTTTACTGTTTTCAATTTCAATTTTATCACCTCACAATTGATCAAAACCACTGCTTTATATCTTTGATTGCTTTGCAATTTTGTCCAAAAATATAATGGAAAGTTCAATTTCTTGATCAAATAGCCACATGGTATAACCAGTTTGAGCCAATGGCTGATTCAAATGATCTTGGGTGAGCTTATTATTTAAACACACAGAATGTTTTGTTTTTCAGGTCCCAAACCTTCAAAAAAGGATGGAACTAAGACCAGTTTTCCCATATCCAGCCTTAGTGACAGGAAGACATGGAGTGCCAGGGTAGCTGATTGCAAGCAAGGCTTGTGGAAAGTGTGTGTCAACTCACCAGCAAATGCCATCATTGGATACTATACAATGTCAATCAAGATCTCCAGCGGAGTCATTGAAAACTTGGGGGAGTTCATGATACTATTTAACCCTTGGTGTGAGGGTAAGTGTATATTATGTGTGGGTACTGTAAGTGTGTGTATCTGGAATTAACAAGCTTTTTCACTGTTCTTTTTTTAAATAAACAGTTAGAGATAAAGACTCTTTTACTAATAGCTGTCTTTATTCTCTGGTTGCATTATGAGATGACAGAATTGTTTATTCAAGCTGTACACTGGCCCTATCCTACTTTAAATCAATAGCTATATAAAGAAAGAAAATCAATTTTTATATATATATATATATATATATATATATATATATAATATACCTGGGCTCCCAGGTGGCTTATATATCAAACAAAGCCCTCCAGCGTTTCACTGTCACTGCTCCTTTGTTCACAGGCATATTTGTCTTCCACCAGTCTTCCTTCTGGATTCACTCTCTTGGCAGCTTAAATGGCCAGACCACAATGTCGTGCATTCCCACAGGAGTCACATAAATGAATGTTGAGCAGCGCATGCGTGGCTCAGTGTTCATTACAGCTGCCAGAAAGGGGAAAGCATTTATGACAAAAGAGACTGATTGGGTCTCTTCTGTCATAAAAACCCTGTCAGCATTTTTTTTAATGAGAGTTTAATACCACTTTAAGGTCTGTGGGCTCTCTCAGGCTTATAATAGAATGTAAATGATTTTTATGGCCTTACAGTCTGTGATTCTGCTACAAATCAGAACAACTATTAAAACTATGAAAGCTTGAGTAAAGAACACTTGACTAAAACTTAGGACAAATAAAAATAACACACGAATCTCAGATTTGTAATACATCATGTATCTTGTAATATGCCATAAAGCAGGGAAGCACAACTCTCAGTTGCTAGGTCAGCATGGAAACAAGGACAATGTGTCTGAGGACCAGAAGGTCCTGCTCTGTGACAACTTACAGACATGAAATATGAACAAAGCATATCCTAGAGTGTACTTGTCTCAATCCAGAGTACTAAGTGTCATTTCTGTCTGCTGCCTCCTTCTTCTACTATCAACATGAGTCATTTCTGATGTGTTTTCTTGACCCCAAGAGAAAAATGGGGATGGGGAGGGCACAGCTTGTGACTGACAGCCTTGGCCCTGTTCCTATGTGATGTGTGAAGGTGGAGGGGGTGTCACTTCCCTCCAATCAGCTTTCAGAGCTCTCTCTGTAATTTCAGCTCCCCGCCCCCTACTTTTCATAGCTAAGAGATACAGTGTAAATTCTGCACTTTGAATGGATGTAGGAGAAAGACATCTATAGATAAACAGGCACAACTTATGTAGGAGGATTTGATTCATCTCTATGTATCATTTGAGGCCAGTCACTTCACTGGGTATATATGTTAAGGTTTACAACCACTTTAAAACTGTACACTGCAACTTTCCAGTTAAATGCCAAGTAACAAAGGGGAAGCCTGGTTTTGCTTTCTGGCCACATGTGAGCTTGATATACAGTTTGCCTATTCTTTCTTTTTATTATAAAAAATTTAAAGTTAGTTTTGTTTGTTTAGTTAAAGTTTACTTTAGCTATGCCTGTGCACACTTGATCCAGTTTTGTTTCTATACGGTACAAACATTTCAAAATGTCAACAGCAGATAGATAGACCCAAATACATTAGGGAAAATCACATATTTATTTTAGGCACACCACAGATCATCTGGTGTACATTCTATAGCAAACTTGTTAGTAAATGTCATGTATATTTGCTATAGTCTATGCATGTGTGTGTGTTTGCACACATTGTGGATATGTAATTGGGTCTATACAGTTTGCTTGTTTGTGCTGCACCAATGTGTGATCGTACATGTGTATCCATTAGTAAAGGCCCACTGGCTTCATTTTTGGAGTTTATGATCCAAAATCAATTTGCAGATTAGGAAAGTAAAAAAAATTCATAAGAACTTATTAACATACTTATTCTGAGTTAGTGATTCAAATTTATTGACCCAAGAATGATCCAGGGAATATTCAATTGCCTCCCAGGGAATTTTTTTCCCCGCAGGAGCAAATTGGATCATGCTTTGCTGGGTTTTTTTTGCCTTCCTCTGGATCAACTGTGGGTATAGGATTATAACTTTTTTTTTTTTTAATGGTTGACCTGGATGAACTTTTGTCTTTTTTCAGCCAGACTAACTATTTAACTATGTAAGAAGGTCAGCATTGCAGCCAGGCAGCTATCATTTTTTAAAAGAAGTCAGCTTTTGCAGGCCCAGCATTTCTCTCAAGTCAGGTTTCCTATAAAAAGAATATTGTTCCCCTGTAAAATATTGACTTTGGCTGAAACTTTTTATGGTCTTTTGGTCTGTTAGATGATCCAGTGTACTTGCACAATGAAGCTGAACGGCGAGAGTATGTTCTCAGTGAAGATGGCATTATCTATCTGGGCACAGAGAGTCATGTTCAGCCTCACCCTTGGCACTTTGGTCAGGTAGGTGTATCAATGTAGCATGCTATCATGCTCAGTCCCCACCCTGGCAATTTGGTCAGATAGGTGTGTTAATAAACAACGCCAAATTATTTATACATTGGTTGGTGATCTTTATGTCTGCCTGGAAATATTCAGCAAATAAAAAAAAAGATGGTTTCAAGTTCAAGTCTTATCAGGGTAGGACATGATTTGGGGGCATTTGCCCCCTGGGACAGTATAAATAGGATTTTATGGGCTTGTGGCCCTGAGTAAAGATTCAGACATCAATCAGACTGGGATCAAAGTCAGTGACACCTGATGGGCATTATATAGCCACCCGCCCCACTTGCAGACATGCACTCACAGTATAGGGCAGAAGGACGTTGTCTAGCATTACATTCCTTTGCAGTTCTGAGATGTCATGTAACCAAATGCCAAGAGCCACAAAGAAGTGTGATGCTGGAAGATGTAAAAAGGTATGTTACAATAATTCATGCCCTTTAGTAACACCCGCTGGTCAACACATCCATTAGTAATTATAACATCATAGTATCCTTTGAATAGTACATTTTTTAGACCTTGCTCTTCTTCATTTTTTTGGTTCTGTTATTTAAATTCCCCTATAAGAAGAATGTGGATGGAAAATGTAACAAAAACTGGATGCTGTGATTGGTGGTGTCCCATTTCCTCCTTTGCCCAAGTCTTAGGCCCACAGATGCCATCTTGTAAATTTTCCTGTAGATGATATATATATATTTGCTTTCTACTTTTGTATGTGCTGATGCTGAACTGAATCTGGTGAATTTCAATTTATAGTTTGAGGAGGACATACCTGAAATAGGCATTAAGTTCCTGGACATAAACCCACGCTATAAGGAAACACCAGAAAAGCACTACATCAAGAGAAGTGATCCTGTCTACATCTGCCAGATGATAGGAGACATGGTGAGAAAGTGAAAAAGATTAATTCCTAATTTCCCTTGCTACTAAAATTGTATCATTGCTATATGTATATATTGTGTGCAGATTGGCCTAAGGGATGATGAGGACAGAGTTGCCTTTATGTGTGAAAACGGAAGACCGTCTTATGAATGGATAAGCAGCATCCCGGTGCTGCGCCAGTGGTTCCAAGAGGGGAGTCAGACAGTATACGGACATCACTGGGTGTTTGCAGCAGTTCTGTGTACAGGTATTACCAAAGCCATCTTTAAAGTGTACACTGTGTACGCACATGTTTAATTTTACATTCTCCCTTCTATTTTTGTATATAGATGATGGCACTGTAATTATTTTAATAAAAGAAAACATCTAAGTACCTTTTTCCTAATTGTTATACATCAATCACATGACCCAGCTCTTTCCCAGTCTGTCTGCAGGGAAACATAAGCAGGAGGAGCTTCTAGTCCTCTGCTGCTGATCACATGTTCAAAATAAAAAAAATAAACAGCCTTTGGAATCCATAGTAAAAATAAATAATATCAATAAACAGTTTCAAATAGTCATACAGATATATATTGGAAGTGAAATCTTTATTATTTTTTGGCAACAAATATGGTGTGGGCGGATTTCTGCTAGTAAGAGGCTGTGTCACACTCCTCCAGCCTGCGTCTTAGAGATAAGAAGGAGGTGAAGCCCCATCAAACTACATGTAATACCCTGCCCCATTGTTTTTGGTTGGTTAGTGGGCATGGAGGAGGGGGCTATCATTTACCACTGGGTATACACCCACTTGTCTGATTCTATAGTCACATGGGCTTCTCAGATGTATTGGGGAGGAAATGTTCAGCACAGAAACTCACTGAAAACTGAGCATGTGCAGAGCTGCACCAACACTGCTCTCTAAAATCCCTAGCTGCATTGGGGACATGAAACAGACATAGGGAAGATAGAGAACAGCAGGATCAACCAGGTTTTTTTGTACAATATAAAAAAACAGACCTTCATAGTGACTGAGTGAGCATGAACAACATCAATCACTGAGATGAAAGCACAGTAAACTTGTCTTACACAACTTCGCCTTAATTTCTGTCTCCTTGACATGCCTTGACATCCACACTTGCCTGACCACCACTCCACCCTTTACCCTCAGCTAAGTAACCACGTGTAACATAGGTTGGAGTTTATTGGCCAAGCAGCCTTTTATTAACGAATTTTAAATAATATAGTGACATAACTCAACATATTGACATTTTGTAACAGTTATTACTGGGTCACCAGATCCTTGTTAGGCATCTACTTCAAGTACCTATGTAAATGAAATTAGGCCTCCAGCTGCAGAAGAAAACACCAACTTGGAGACAGACAAATAAGGAGCGCAGGTACCACCAACCAGCATAATGGGAGCCATACCCAAGTATAGTTCCCTACAAACGTACCTTTTTGCCCATCATAAAAACACATCTAAGGACCTCATACAGAGCAGCCTGCTATGACATATCTACAACAAATCCCATATCAGTCCCAAAAATACAAAAACAGCTTTCAGAAACCTGAAGGGAGGGAAGGCAGGAAGTTGTCCTGATGCAAGCTCTCCTCTGACTAAAAACCCCTCCTATGTCAAACCCCCCTTTTCTGCACACCCAGTCATGTCACCCTGCGTTGAGGTTTTTCTTTCTTTTTACTCTCTCTGATCTTCCATAGAACATATTTCAGTGCCTTCCTTGTAAGGTCCATGTCCTACATTCCAAAGTCCCCACTAGTGTCTGTTTCTCTTAGTGGATGCATGAGCTCTATTTTTTTACAACAACTCTAATAGAAACAGAAGTACATCTTACGTAGTACAAAAATACATAAAACTGAAATCACTTTCTAAAAGTTTCTTACGGCCAACAAATACTATTTTTTCTCTCTCCCTGGTCTGTCAGGTGCAAAAAGCCATGGCTCCTCTTTACTGAGCATTTCCCTTAGTATTTCCTGTTTGATACCTTCTTCAGCATTGACTTACTAACTAGCATGATGTTTCATCAGGTCTCACAAAGTGAAACCTGTTGATTTTCTTTTTGTCCTGTATAGGGCAAACTAAGGCTTCACTTTAAATATACATACATATTAATTTATATTATTTTATTTGCAGTAAATTGGGGAATGTATTACAGTCAATTAAAAAAACTGATAAAAGTATTATTATTACATAATTCTCATATTTTACCTGATTGTGAACACTGAATATAAATCTTGCACTTTTCTGCAGTATTGCGCTGTCTGGGGATACCAACTCGGATTGTCACAAATTACAACTCAGCTCATAACACAGAAGAGAGTCTCAGGAAGGATTTGTATTACAATGACAATGGGGCACGGATTCACAGGTCCAGGAATGACAGCATATGGTAAACACTCAAAAGTATTTAATCCTTGGAAATGTATGACAACATGAAATTGAGTCATCAATCTGTCTCCAACAGTAATCATTTATATAGCACAATCCCATTCTGCAGTGTTTTATGGAGAAAATAAATCTGTTAACACCAGTCCCTAAATTAGAGGAGATAACAATCTTATGTGCAAACCACAATCACACATGTTAGGAAACTGACAAGTTATACATACAGTAAGTAGAAAGGTTAACCCCTTCACACCTAAGGGTAAAACAAATGTTAATGCCTAAGCACAAGAAAAAATATATACTCTAACAGAAAAAACTAACAGGGTTTTGAAGGCAGCATACCAGAAAATTAAATACTCAAAGAATATAACAACTACAGCTTTATTATTAAAATTCAAACCACAGTTGTGGTAATGAAATTTTAGAAAATAACACATTCATTTTAAAAAAACATAGTTTGCTTGTAACAAACAAAATCAATATATATTGCAAAATATAGCCTTTAATGGCATGAATGTCATAGTTGGCATCATCATTCCAGGTTGATACTTTGTTTCTCCGACGTGTTTCACAGGACGCAGCCCACTTCTTCAGGGAGACAAAGTATATAGTTCTAAAATTATATACAAAAATAGACCAAAGAAATAAAGATAAACATATAGCATGATGAAAAAAGTAATGATGAATCTAATAAACGCTCTATTAGCATTTACCCATTGGTAACATCAATGACTCTGTAGAGGCCAGTGGAAAGCATGAGAAAGCATGAGCATTGAATCCAAGCGGATTCCAAAAGTGGAAGAGGTCCCTCAATCAACAATGTAGATGTCCACCAATTGGACAGAATTACAAATCCACAGTGGAAAGCTGAAAAATTATCAACACATCAGGATGTTTGAAGTGTCCTAGGGCATTACAAGCTCTACCCCTGCTCCCCAAACAAGTTATATATTGAAACCCTACAAATGGGACAACAAAGAAAAAAGACAAAGTATATACTATATCCCTAAACAGACTATCCACTTAATACTGTATCGTATACTTAAATTGTTTTAAAGCATTTTACATTTAATCCTCACTATCCCCTCAAAAACAAGGGAAAAGGGGAAAAAAGCATAGTATATGGGTCCATTTGCAAATATCACCCAAATACATACCGCATCAGACAAGGTATTTATATGGTCCAAAAGAGCCCCAAGCAGACAAGAGTCATTTTGGCATTAATAATGAGAAGCCAATCCTTTGTCCAGTGATAACAGTTCTCACAGTCCTCTCAAGAAATATAGTTATTGAAATAATGCCTCAGTTCACAGGTCTTAAATAGCGGACTAAGCCGCCAAATTGCCGGCATTTCCACCATACAACGCGTGCGCAGCCAAGTCATAGAGGTACGTACATGATATCATGACACCCGACCAGGGGCGGACTGACCATTTGGAAACTCGGGCACTGCCCAAAGGGCCCGGGGTCAGTAGGGGGCCCCATAAGATGCCCCTGGTACCTTTTTCATAGGCTTTTTTGAGTTTGGGCAAGGACACAGGGGCCCCATGATCCCCTATTGCCCGGGGGCCCCATGAGTTGTCAGTCCGCCCCTGCACCCGACTTCAGTGCGTTATGTGCCATGATGCCAGACGTCGTGTGATCACGGCCATCTTTAAGAATACCATACAGAAGGACCAAATACTGGACACGAATCTGCACCATCAATACCAAACAAAGGGGATTAGCAAACCAAAAAATAAGAACTATCCAGATTCAATATCTATACATATATCCAGATTACAGTGTTATAAAAAAAAACAAGCGTTCACGATTCCAGACGTCCTCCTCAGTCAGTTTTCGATCACCAGCTAACTTTTACAGTTCACTATTTCGATAACTACAAACATGTAAATTACACATACAGTAAATATACATAACCAAAATTATAATCCATCAAAAAAATATAATAATAAAGTACAACGTTTTGAAGTACATACAAAATTATACAAAAGTACCAAATATAGCTAATTTAAATATAAAAACTATATGATGGCTGGAAAAAAAGAGAGAAAAGAAAATTGAATAATAAATCAGGGCAAAAATAGTTTAAAACTCAGTGAGTCATTCAAACTCGGAGGCTGTGTTGCCGCCAGCTTGTGTATCCATCTTACTTCTTTTTGAAAGATATGACGGTCCCAATCACCCCCCCTAGGGTCTAAGTGAACTCTTTCAAGAGCAAAGAACCTAACACATTAAAAAAAAAAAAAAAAAAAAAAACACAGTGGATTCTTAGAGTGGTACCAGGTACTATGTCTACCTATAGGGGATGAGATATCTCTCATTTGGATGGCTGAAACATGGTCAGAAATTATTTTCCAAAATTTGCATTTTACCAATAAAGAAGCTGCCACAACTGCATACCATCATATAAACAACACCTGCCATTTGGCAGTTAGCATAGTGTCGTGCTTCATGCATCTCCCCATTCGGCAGAACATATTTTCTGCCTTGGGAGATATATTAACAGTATGCACAGCCACCACAAATGAAGGTACCCCTATGGTGATATGGATCTGCCACTCCTGATCTGGTAAAATGACTGTGTACTAAGGTATCTCTAATTGACCTATTCCTGTGATAAGTAATCTCAGCTTTGTCCTTCATGCACATAGCTACAACAGGATCAGCTTTTAATAGATACCAGTATTTATTGATGATATGACGGATTTGTTGCTGTTGTTTGTTATACCACATAATTCATTTAGTGGTTGTTACTGTATTTGGAACGTCTGAAAAATCAGGTCCGTACGTGACTGTAAATTTATTCGATAGTATGCTTTTTTCAACATTTTGTTTGAGTATTCACAAGCTAACAATCTAATTCTTAATGCATCTGCCTCTCGTTTAAGGCGTAAGTATTGGCTATATGGTATAGATCTAATTAAATTATATGGATGGCCACTATTGGCTCTTAAGATGGTGTTGCCAGCTGTGGCTTTACAGTATAGAGTAGACCCTAAAGTATAATCTTCCCGTATAAAGATCTCCACATCTAAAAAAGAGATGCATTTAGGATTACACATCATTGTGAAAGACAGGTTGAAGTAAATAGGTCCCAGATGCGTAATGAAGGCATCCAAAAGTTCTTTGGTGCCATCCCAGAGGATGAGTATGTCATCAATGTACCTGTGCCATGACAAACCATGGCACAGGTACATTGAGAGAGACTCATCCCCAAATATCTGGCGTTCCCACCGCCCAGGTACAGATAGGCGTAGGATGGGGCACAACAAGTCCACATGGCTACGCCCTGCACCTGGAGGAAGTGGGAACCGTCAAAAGTAAAGTAGTTATTGTTGAGAATGTATCAAAGAATTTCAAAGACAAAAGTATTGAATTCCATCTGGTCCCTGCTTCTTTCCTGTAGAAACATATTAACAATATCCAGGCTCTTACTGTGTGCTATACTGCTATATAAAGCTTCTACATCCAGGGCCACTAGTAAGATATTGGCAGGGACCTGCATATCTTTGATTATTTTATAATAAATTAATCGTATCCTTAGTGTATGATGGCAAACTAGTAACATGTGTCTTAAATGTATGTCTACCAAGATACTTGCATTTTCTGTAAGCCCACCACATCCAGAAATGATGGGCCTACCTGGGGGTTTATTTTAATTTTTATGCACTTTTGGAAGGGCATAAAAGGTAGGGAGACGTGTCCATTCAGTATACATGAATTCCCAAGTACTCTTAGGAATGACATTTTTCTGCAGGGCATCATTAATAATATTATAGTAAGTTATTTTTGCCTTATCTACTTGATGTTGGGAAACCTTTTTATACCATTTCATATTTTGCAGAATCTGCTGGCACATGGCACTATATTGATCACAGGACATTACTACAACATTACCTCTCTTATCAAAAGGTTTTATCACGAATTCCTTTCTTATCCTTAATTTATCCAAAGCTAATTAATGGGATTTGGGAATTTGTGCCTAAGCACAATTCTGAAACATGTGTTAGTCAAACCATAAATATCATCAAAACTACTTTGTGCATCCAGGTGAATTATACCTGTTTTTTTTTTTTTTTTTCAGGAAAAACTGGGCTTTCATTTGGTGGTAAATGATAATGGATATCTCCAGATTTTTGTTTATTATCAAAGGAAAACTGGTCCAAAATAGTAAAAAGAAAAATCATTTTTTAAATATAGCTGTATATTTCTTGTTACTACCATAACCTACCACCAAAGAACAAGCCAAAAAATCCTCCTGCTACTGAAGATTGCAGCAATGCCACATATGTGTATGTTAGTTGCTGTTTGTACCCGTAGTGCAGCTCAGAAACACTAGTGCCCTTTTTAATTAAAAAATAATAATAAAATAAATATAAATAAAAAAAAATAATAATAATCTTGCCTAAAATAATTTCTGACTCTGACCTTGACCCAAACACTAACTCTGGCACTGACCTAAAACTTTGTTTTTATTTTATTTTTTAATATTATTATTATTATTGGATTTTTTTTAAACACACTGTTATTTTTTTTCCTCTCTGCAAGGAGAGAGATGCAATATATCTCCTCCATCCAGAGAGAGAAAACACAGGGGTGGGCTTCACAGTGACTGATCACTGTGCTAGCCAATCAGAAGCTAGTCAGTCAGGTGAATCAGGAGTTTCTGGTCCTGATAATTAGGCGGTTCACTGGCTTAGCAAGGGTGCAAGATTGCCTTGTATATTTCTCAGTGAAAACAAGGTGTTCTTTGCTTGAACTACCTGCTTCTCCACCTTGTCCAATCAGAGAATGCTTTGTATTCACTGAGAAAAATGCAAGTCATTCTCTTAATGGTGCCCGTGCCCAGCGAGTGACCCCAGCCGCTCAACACAGGACCTGGAAGACAACTAGGATCACTGTAGTAGCGGCGACTGTGTCCACAGGGATTGGACAGGTATGGAATATGCATACTTTCACTGGTCCAAGCTGGACTAAAAAAAAGAACAAAAACTTGGAATTCAGATTTAAATGTTTATATATAAATGAGTGATGTCCCATATAACTGTTCAAACTTGATTCTGATAAACTATTTCCTATATCTTACTGAATATTGTTTTATTGCAGGCACTTCCATGTATGGAATGAGTGCTGGATGGAAAGAAATGATCTCTATAAGGGGTTTGGTGGCTGGCAGGTCCTAGATGCCACTGCACAGTTGAAATACAATGGTAACCTGACAATTCTTCAGGCCTCTTAAGTGATAGTGAAACATAAACTAAATGATGAAAGATAAGATACTGTAAATATATATATATATATATATATATATATATATATATATATTTCCCTGAAATGAGTGTCAAGTTCCTATCAGGGGCGGACTGACAACTCATGGGGCCCCCGGGCAATAGGGGATCATGGGGCCCCTGTGTCCTCGCCCACACTTAAATCACACCCAAAAAAGCCTATGAAAGGTACCAGGGGCATCTCATGGGGCCCCCTACTGACCCCAGGCCCTTGGGCAGTGCCCAGGTTCCCAAATGGTCAGTCCGCCCCTGGTTCCTATTCATTTTCCAGGCTGCTTCCCCAATGGTTTCCTCAACTGTCATAAATAATGATAATTATTTGTAGGGATTTTTCCTTTAATATTTCAAAGCTTTCTACACTGTATATGTCATAGAAGGTTTAGAACCTCTAACAATGTTTTATTGCAGCTTTTTTAAGTTCTTATGTTTTTGGCATGGGTAAGGTTGGAACTGTTTTCATGTTTATTGCTGTTTATATCATTGTATTTGAGATTTCCCTTTACATCCTTTCAAAGAGACACAAAATGTGGTACCTAATTGTCTCAAAGTGTGGAAAAATATTACCTGACTGACTGTTGCCAGAGAAAATCATAATATTTTGACTGGATTTACACTTTAAGCCTGCATAGTTGTTGGTGCCACATACAGTATGAGAGGTCAGGGTGGCCAAGAGAAGATTATATTAATTTTAGAAATTATAGGAGAGGTTGTTTATTGAAAATAAGGTCCTAAAGTGTTACAAAACCCACAACAGTACAATCAGTCTGTATATGCAGTAAAGCATGCTTGCTATACTCACTGTGGAACCTAAGGGGTTAATACTCTGCATTGTGTAAAAAGGATGTTTGATCCTGTCTTCTCTGATGCTTCCCTTCTACAGTCCCCAATCCATCTGCCAATAGAACAGATCCTTGTGGGCAAGCTGCACATGCTCAGTTTGGTGTGTGTTGCTAGAGGGAGTGGATGTGATTAGCACAGGGCCAATCGGCACTGACCAGACAGAGGGTCTGGGGTTATGCAGACTTATAGGACAAGCAGAGGAGAATGAAAACTCCTCCTACAAGCTTTAACTAGTGCTCAGCTGGGCACTGATAGAAGTCACAAGACTGCTATATACTGCTGATGAGAAAAGGTATTTAGCAGTTTATTGTTACAAAAATAATTGCATTTCCATGTTGTGTGTACTGTGGGAGACCAGATATAGTGAATCCAGGGTCCTGGATTTAGTAACACTTTAAGTAAAGCTTGTTTTAAAAGTCCCATTGTCTAATGAAACTCTTGATTCTAGGAGCCCTTTATTGTAATGGACCAGCTCCGGTGAGAGCGATCAAGGAAGGCATTGTGGACTTAAATTATGATACAAACCTCATCTATTCCAAGGTGGTCACAGAGACTGTGAATTGGGTACGAAATACAGATGGATTTTTCAAGAAGGTTTTCAGCAGCACAAGACAAGTGGGGGATGGAATGAGCACAAAAGAGTGTGGGATGCAACCTTGAAGATGATATCACCCATGAATACAAGCACCCAAAGGGTAATGAAATACCCTTGAACATTGAATAGTAGGCTGAGATATCCGAGAAATATCATAGAAATGCATTTAAAGTGATTGTAAAGGGAACTTGTTACATGTACCTGCTCTGTGCAATGGCATTGCAAAGAGTGTGCCTTTACCTCTTCTTCTGGAGTCCCCCACTGGCATTGCCCACTTTTTTGAATGTCCCCACAGCAAGCTGTGTGCTGAGGGGGCACCCAGGCGGACTTGCTTCCGACTTCCAAGCCAGGCAGTTTGACCACGCCACCCTCTCCCTCTTCACTGGATTTGACTGCCAGAACCTATGGCCCCCGCTGTTCTCAGAGTCTCTCTGAGACTAAGAAGAGGGGGCACTGCTGCAGACAGGACAGCTCTGGATCAGTAGAGGAGTCAAGTGAGTTTTTAGGAATGGGGGGGGGGGGTGAACAGTTAATGGGGTGTGTTTTACCTTAATGCGTTAAAGTGGTTGTAAATCTAGAAGGCTTTTACTTTAATGCGTTCGATGCATTAGAGTGGTTGTAAAGCTTCCCTTTTTTTTAAATTAATATAACAAACATGCTATACTTACCTGCTCTGTGCAGTGGTTTTGCACAGAACAGTTCCGATCCTCCTCTTCTCAGGTCCCCTGCCGGTGCTCCTGGCTCCTCCCCCCTGCTGAGTGCCCACCATAGGAAGCTACCTCCTATGGTGGTCAGTCATGCGGGCTTGCTCCTGAGCTGAGCTGCTCCTGTCTAATCAGGCACAAAGTCCATCTCGGTCCCACCCCCTGCTCTCTGCATCTGGTTTTGACTAACAGCAGCAGGAGCCAATGCATGCACTACTTTTAAAAAACACTCTGTGATACCATGTGATTTGGTGCCCGCAAATCCACTGTCCTTCGGTGCATGTCCTACCCTTTTTCAGTGCAGACCACTTCAAATTGGTGGTGTCAAATGAGCACACTAGACATAAGTTTTGGCTAGTCTATGCGATGGGCAAAGCTGTTCAACGAGTTTTGGCGTGAACTGGCCCTAAAAAGTAATATCTCCACAATGCTTATAGCAACAGAGATGAATGAGGACTTGTTTTAAAGTGCTTTTACTGCTTGTTCAGAACATGTATATACAGTATGTTAGTATGCATGATCTGGGCACATGTTCACTTTCAGCTTGTAGCAGGATTCAATAACTTAGACAACATACAGTCCATTACAAGCAAAACAATTCTTGTCAACAGTATGTAACTGAGAGAAACCAATCTATACATTGTCACCTTCAATGCTACTGCCTACAATAAAAAGGTAACATCAAGTATGTCTCTCCAAATACTATAAATGTGTATTGGTCATTTTATGGACTGCTGTCCTGTAACCCAAATATTGTAAAATGTCATACCTAATCATAATTATTTTGCTTATTTTTTCCCAAACAGGCTGTCAGGAAGAATATGAAACTTTTCAGAGAGCCAAACAGCTGATGCTGCAAACCGAGCACAGTAGTGAGGACCCTATGACCCTATCCCCCTTCGTAGTATCCATTATACCCCAGAATGGCCAACTGTATGGGCATGAAGTTAATGTCAGTGTGACAGTGACCAATGTGAGTGAAGAGGAGAAGGACCTAGAGCTGGTTATTGGTGCCCAGCCTGTACATGACTATGGCATAACTGGAACTCAGTTCTGGAGTGAGAGAAGTTTTATTTCCATCTTAATTCAGGAGAAGGTAATTCGTTTTTGTGAATAAAACCATAGAGTATGTGGAACAGAACAGATAATCAAAGAGGACCTGGATGGGGGTTCCTTCCTGCAAAATCAGCCCTCAGACTTTGAGATTACACACTGCTAAGGACCCCCCTCATGTGGCAGGGTTGGCACCCATGCAGCCAATCACGATACCTGTCACCTGCGTAGAAAAGAGTCACATAGTAACCCAAACCCATTAGTACCAGGCATGTCACTTTGCTTCCCCAGTCCAGCAGATTGGCAGCATACTTAAAGCAGAGTTTCACCCAAAAGGGGAAGTTCCGCTTTAAAGATTGGTCCCCCGCTCCCACTGCAATTGCCTACTGGCCTAGGCGATCGGAAGCGGAATTTGTTCTCCTACCCAGGGGCGGACTGACCATTCAGAAACTTGGGCACTGTCCGAGGGCCCGGGATCAGTAAGGGGCCCCATGAGATGCCCCTGATACCTTTCATAGGCTTTTTTGGGTGTGGTTTGAGTTTGGGAGAGGACACAGGGGCCCCATGATCCCCTATTGCCCGGGGGCCGCATGAGTTGTCAGTCCGCCCCTGCTCCTACCCTCCCTCCCCGAAGTCTTGTAGGACACGTAACAGGTCCCAAAAGACGATGGGGCCATTCAGGAAGCGCAGCGCTACTTACGCATGCGCAGTGGGCACCTGGCTGTGAAGCCGCAAGTTGTCACAGCCGGGTGCCCACACTAAAGATGCCGACGCCTGAAATACAGGATGGCCGGTGAAACGGGCTGCGGCACGGGCAATGCGGGATCGTGGGACAGGTGAGTGGCTGTTTTTTAAAAGTCAGAAGCTACAGTTTTTGTAGCTGCTGACTTTTATTTTTTTTTACTGAGTGAGTGGAACTCCGCTTTAAGCTGGCCATACACTGGGAATATTTTTTTTTCAATCAGCAGCTACAGCCAATCAGCTGCAGCCCCTGCTCAGTGTACTCAGAATACAATGTCCAGATGGAGATTCCTCCATCCACCTCATTGTGTGGATGTCTTTCAGCCAAATGGGGTGAATAGGGAATCCACCACTCCCCCCACCCGGGCACCCACTGATGTCAGAATACACTGATCAGGGGCAGCAGCTGCTGATCAAGACAAATTTTCCAACATGTTCCTTTGCCAGACTTCTGTCGAGTTTGGTGGCCACAGACTGACTGAAATTTCGTCAGTCCCTGCTCAACCAGCTGAATTTTGATCTATGTATGGCCAGCTTAAGGATAGTTAAGTAAGCTGTTTGAGCACCTCCAAAGTATTTTGAACGCCAAGCACCATCATACCTTATACACAAATACTGTATTACACTATTACTAAAGACCCTAACTGACCTTTCTGATCCATTGCAGAGAGAAGTGTCTCTGGCAAGGTTAATCCTTTGCTGTATGAGAAGGTTCTGCTGGACAATAACCTGCTAAGAGTGACTGCTCTATTAAAGGAACCAAAGGGCCAAACCAACAGCTTTGCCTTGGCAGAACAAGATGTGGCTGTGTGCAAACCAACCCTAATGATACAGGTAGTAGAGAACTATGTTGCAAGTATTATGCAATGCAATGCAACTGTCCAATCTCCATTAGATTTTTTGTTTCAATTATTTTTTTTTATTAAAGATTGATAATATGAATAGCAATGAATATGATCTCATCTTCAAATGCGAATATCATGTATATACCATTACAAAATTACAGTTATCCAGAATTTACAAACGTAAAAAAAAAAAAAAATCAGTAGATGTCAAAACTAGTGTCAAAGGAATAATAAAAAACAATCAATAAATGCTGCTGCTCAAAGAAAAAAAACATCAAAATTATCATAATAAAACACAACACAAAAAAGATCATACAGAATTCGAAAAATATATATATGAAAGTCCAAAAAGTCCCAAATAAAAGTACAGTGCTCCAATACAGAAAGAAAACAGTGATGAAAAAATATTCATAAATTTTCCAGTGTGTTCAGTGATAATTGATTTTGTCCAGAAAAAAACATTATTTACCACCCTGTATAGTGTTTTGTCGGCAAAAATAAAGTCCAATACTCCCAAAGGATAGTTTATTTGCTCTTTTTATTCTTTAAGTTTCTCCATTAGTTTTTCTATCAACTTTGATGCACAAGGATCTAGCTGACTGGATATTAATTAAGTGGTGATAAAGATAGAGGTGTTGGTAGATTATACAGGATTTGTACAGACATATTGTAATTTTAAAATATTTAAAAAGCATTTTAGTGCTGTGACTTCATCCAAAAAATCCACTTGCTGCAATTTCCAGCAAAATATGCTTTCTACTAGAATGGCCAGGACTGCATACAAGATGCAGAGGTAGTCACAGGGGTGACACATGCTTGTTTAATAAGACATACATAAGTGCATACATCAGTAGTGATGTGTAAAGAGTAAGAAACTATGGCAGTCATTCAGGGTTCTCATATCAACACTTTGCAGCAGTGATAGGCAAATCTGAAATCTGTAGGTGCTCTGTACTTGCAAAGCTTAAGTTTATGTAAACCGTTAGACAGTACCTGAACAAGATTATCCAACGCCCAGGGCCTGGATGACAAACTATGCCCCCTGTCCCACCCCCCTCCTCCATTCATGATGTGCAAGCTTAGAGGATCCCACGCCCAGCAGTCACTCACTTGTCAAAATCACTGCCGTTGTCACTACTCAGCCTTGTAACAGAAGAAAGGCACCTCCATCCCTATAATAAATCATTGCACCCAGGGCAGCCGCCCCCTCCCACCCATCCCTTGTCCTGGCCCTGCCATTAGATGTGTAGTTGTGACTTAAATTTCTGGGCTACTTTAATTGCAAAAAGGAATTACATTTTTGCCCTTTCAGTCCTGAAATTTACAGAACAATGTAGGAGAGCAGAGACTGGTGACCTGACTTTTCTTTCCTGCAGATAAGCAATACAGTCTGGTCACTTTCTTGCCACAGCCGGTAAATGGACGATGTGAGAGCAGTGCTTCCCACATGGAAGAAAAAATATATTTTAAAATATATTTTTAAAAAATTCTACCCAAATATATTGACATATATTTGAAATACTACAATTGTGGCTGTATATTATATCTTGTACCTGTATATCTTACAGGTTAAAAAAAATCTGAAGAATATTTTTTAAAATATATATTTTTAAATATATTCTTCAGGTTTTTTTTAACCTATAAAAAATTAATTTTAAGATATATTTTTACATATATTTGTAAATGCATTCAACAAATGTAGATTTGTATTTTTAAAGACATACAGTATATTTGAAATGTATTTTTAAAAATATTTTTCATATATTTTGTAGTAAAAATGCATTTCAACCTACAGTATATATATTTATTGAAATATATTTTGAAATATATTGAATATGGCCAAAATTGTAGTATTTCAAATATATGGCAATATATTTGGGAAGAATATTTTTAAAATATATTTCAAATATATTTTTCTTCCATATGGGTTATGAGCTTTTTCTGTGCTCACTCTGCTCTCTCATCCTGTTGGAATGTTTCTTGCCATCTCATGTGCAATACAACTTAGTTACTTAGTCCAATTGAAAAAAAAAAAAAAAGACATGCGTCCATCTAGTTCAACCATTAAAAGAGAAAAAAATTCCAATCCACTTTGCTCCTGCAGGGGAAAAACATCCTTCCTGATCCCCCAAGAGGCAATTGGATATTCACTGGATCAACTTTGCCTATAAATATTAGTATCCAGTTATATTGTGTACAGAAAGAATCCAGGCCTTTTGTAAAACAATCTACTAAGCTGACCAGAACTAGCTCTTGAGGGAGTCTGAACCACATTTTCAAAGCTCTTACTGTGAAGAAGCCTTTCCGTATTTGAAGATTAAATTTCTTTTCCTCCAGATGTAGAGTTCCCCCTTGTCCTCTGTGATGACCTTAAACTGAATACCTCTATAACGAGTCCACTAACAGACATCTAATACTCAAATAAAACAACTGCTGGCACTAAAAGGTGACTACGCCCAAACCTTTGTAAAGATATAGATTAAAAAGTGCAGTGCTCAAAAAAGTTATAATACGTGTCTTAATATACAAACTAAATAGTAAATACAAATGACTAAATAGTCCATAAATATGAAAATCTCTAGTGATAACAGTTCATATAATATCAATACAGTAAATGGGCACAATAGCAATCACCAGATCTCCGCAATTCACCTCTTCAAGGAAAAGTTTTCTTGATATAGCACCGACCATAAATGATGTCATGCACCAGCATCCAGCCCATTTGCTGTTCTCATGATGTACAGTGAGTACATTGGACTGGTGGTGGTGCACATTGTGGAGATTTGTATAGACACATTTTTCATAAGGTCACATTTATTTCACATCTCTTTTATAATATACTACACTATGTACATTATTTTGATTTATGGGGAGCGCTTGTTCCTATTCTAGTCTCGCCATCCATCTGCTACTTCCACTGAGGTTACAAAAATAGAATAGAAAAAAGCCACCTGTAATAGCACAAGTAATTTGTGTCATAATACTATCTCCGACTCACTTATCATAAAAGTGTGGATTCATAAACCGAAAAATGCATAGTAGACAATATGGTAGTGTGACAAGAGCAGCACCACCCAAAGAAAAGAGGTTACTTAAAGATCCACGCGGAGTAATATAGGTTTCAATAGTTACAAAGAATACTTTATTTGATCAATAGATCATGGGGAGGTTAAGCATAAGCACAGTGAACATATCAAACAAATAAAATCATTTAAAAGCACTAGGCGTCCTCATATCTGGGTGATTTTTGCACATAGGGAACCATATAAGGCAATGGTATATTATGTAGCTCTATGATCCTAAATTTCCATATATAGTTCAAACTTGTATTTAGATTCGCCATAAATTCTTCAGACGTATTCTTGATATAAGCCAGGATGAGTAGAATAGCTCCCTGGTAAATGGAAACTGGAACACAAAAATATATAATGATAGAAAAGCTTAACTAGCACATAAATCACACCATAGCTGCCCCATGCAGAGATAGATTAGTACTTATCTTTACCTTCTCAGTAACTTAGCTGTCATACCAGCAAGATAAATGTAGAGACTTCCTGGGTAACCACCCCAAGTGAAACAAAGTCCACAGTAACAGGTGATTCTAAAGATATATATAAAGTTAAATAGATCATAAACATCAAGCAAAACCCTGAATAGTAAGAAATGACAAAATAAAGGTATATATTACCATCAGTGAAGATCAAGAGGACTCACGTCAACTTGAAATAAGATCAGGTCCTTAATGCTTGTTCTATAGTGCATATATAGGTGGGAAGCCAGGTGGTCTCAATACATTAATTTCAAAGAGAGTATTATATATGTAGCAGGCACTTTATACCTGAGTCTATATACCCAATGAAGGGTTTCCAAAAATTGCTCAAACTGAGATTAGTAAAGCGGTTCCTTAAGGATATAGCTATATCACAGCATACAGCACAGGTGTGACAAAAAGTATATACCTTCCTCCAAAGAGGATTTCCAAAAAATTCCCTGAAAAAACAGGAGTACTAAGCACCTATAGCGTTC